AGTTACTTCTCTATTTGGGAGACAAGGGGGCTAACTACCTTCAAAGAATATTTTTAAATTAAATTTATTGGTCATATATGGCATGAACTAAGCTCAGTTTAGTCTAGTTAGTGGCTTAGACTCGCCAAACTTCATTTTTAAGATCTAACAAAAGCAACAGAACGTTTCTCTATGTGATAAATACAAAAGCAAATATGGATAACAGAAAACATTATATCTATGTTGATAAACAAAGCTGATCAGAAAATGAGAATTTACATATGAAAAGGCTAAGTGTTTTAACGCTTGCTATAAGATAAATTATCTCTTGCTATACACGTGACAGTGCTGCATTTAGTTAGCTATGGAAAATCATGCATCTGAAAGTCCAGTGAGTCCTATGACCTATGATTTTCAAAAGAACATGAATAACTGGTACGTTTTGGGAACGTTCAGGTTAGCACTGTTCAAGTTTTCCCTTGAAATTTCAGAAATTACAGCAAAATGAAATGTGATGAAATAATACATCCAACCAAAATGCAAATGACTGAATGCACGGTATCTATACATACTTAATTTTTATACTTAAAAGTTTGGAATCCTCATGATTTATCAGAACTGTGAATTAATCATTCCTGGAACATGAGTTTCTGAAAAAAATATATTAAATGGTGATCTAGTTTAATTATTTTCATTCCCTGAAAGCTTTCTAAACTGCCTGTACCCCTGATGTTACAGAACAGGCACACCTCAAAATGTAACTAGCACAAGAGCAAAGGTTCTAGTCATCCTCTAACTGTATGGCATTTGTTAGTGCTATAGAAGTGATGCCGAGGTCGACTTACTATATATCCAACTATATAGAAAGAAGCACACCTGAGTTCCGAATGCTCACAAAATAATACACAAAGCTGCACGTTACCAAGCTACTTGGATAAAAAGGAATGTTAAGAATATAAAGCTCTTTTCTTTACATGCCAGCGAAAAGTATTTTTAAAACAAGTAGAAGACATGGCAAGAAAGGATTAAAAACAAATTTCTCTGCATTCGCATAGTGAGCTGATGTTAAGTCAGAGGCATTTTTCAAGTTTCCCACTCTTTTGCTGGAGAGTAGTTTTGTGCTCAGTATTTAAATTATAGGACATTTTACATTTAATTTATGGGTGAATGTGACATTATGACCTTACTCTTAACTACTAATCATCTGAAGAGTATTCATTCAAAACCATGTCTGCACTCATCACTCAGCAGCTTTCATTTTTTTGATTTGTATCATCTAATACTATGTATAAACTCTAGACATACTCTTAGATGATACCTTAGTGTGATGCATTTATGTGAAAGTACTTAATCCACTCTGTAAATAATGGAATTAAGACAAAAAATGAGACCTTTTAATACAGGTTTTGAAATAATAAAACACTCACAGATGCAATTCAAAAGTTTAAGGGAAAGAATATGCTAACTTCGAAGAAGTCTTGGATTTTTCTCACCAGATCCAACATATTAGATTTTAACAAACATGTTCCCACTAATCTCCCAGAAAGCAGCTAAAAAGAAATAGGAGAAAACATATCATTTGTGAGTTCGTCCAACAAAAAAGTGAAAACGAAAAGCACACTTCTGGCAAATAATATTTCATGTTTCCACTTTAGTAATGCCATAAGACTACAAGTAAACTTGATTTGTATATTTTACTTAAAGAGATAATCACAAATTGATTTTTGTTGTTTTTTAAATTGCACAAACTTTAAACTATGTTAATAAATTCTACTTTCTTCCAGAGTAAATGCATTTTCTGGAAATAAACACATAACTTGACTATGTTTTCTCATTACTTTTTGGATGCATGCTAAAATAGATCAAATGAGCACAGTCCTTGAAATTACACTTAGAGTGGACCAAATTAAGATTCCCATAGTACTGATTTCTCTTTGATGTAATTTAAAATGTGTAAACTGCCACTCAAAACAGAAGTGCAATACCTGACATTTAATCATTTGGCAGTCTTTTACGTATAGGTGAATTTCTGCACTGTTATTTGAACTGAAGCATCTCATAATATATATGTAACAGATTTTGTATGATACAAAACTTTACAGCAAGCTATTTGAATGTTTATTAAAAAATTCTCAAAATGACATGGAAACATGTTTATTGTATAAATAAAAGCAATTATACATTAAGAGTGTACATTATTCAATGATTTGCAACATCACATGCAAACTGGGGTATGAGCTAAACATTACAAACTACCACACTATATGCATATTGTATTTGTATTTGTCATAAAAGTAATTTACCTTAATAACAGATGTCTGTCTTTATCAATTATTTAAGAGGCAGCAGAAAAGTAAATTGCATTCAGTGTAAAAATCCTGGTAAAATAGTCTCTATGCTCAATGTTTCCTTAAAACATCAATTTTGCTAGAAAAAGAGACTCTATGTCAAAAAGTCTGAGGAAAAAAATGAGTCAAGTAAAATTAAACATGATTTTGATTTTATATACCTTAAGCTTTCATATGCTAATATAGTTAGCAAGTTCTCTGTAAAAGGTAAGAATTGCCATGTTTGGTCATGAAAATTTCTTGACAGACCTTCTAACAATAAAGGTCATAAGAATTTCTCTTAAAAATGATGATAGAGGGGCTGGCAAGTGGCTTAGTGGTTAAGGTGCTGGACTCCCACGTGGCAAATGTGGTTTCAGTCCTGGACTCAGAGTCTTGTAACTCACAGTGGGTACAAATTCATGCATGCCCCAAATCCCGAGAATGGAAGACAAGGGATTGTGACATGATAATACTCCCCGGAGGATAATCTGTCACTTTCTGTCTTGCTCTGTCTTTCCAGTGAGCACATGAGCACTAATAAAACAAAAAAAAAAAAAAAAAGTTTCATGTTAGAGAATTGTGTAACTAGTCCCAATACAAAGTGTCATGTGGCACAGAAACACACAAATAGCAACAGCATATGCCATTTTAACATTTTGCCTCAACTATGAGCTTCCTTCCTCTTCTGAGAAAGATTACCTTAATGGTCCTGTGAACAGCATAGTAACTTGACCATATAACCTATGAGACTCCAAGTTGACGAGTCATCAACTTCATACAACACAAAAAGTATGGTTATAATGTTTTTTCTAAAACACTTCTAATTAGAATTCTGTATTTTGTATGGCTTAATGTCTTCTTGCATTGTCAAATATGCATCCATTAAAAAATCTCAGCCAGGAGCTAGCCAGGTGGCTAAGAGAGTTGGATCCCATATGGCCAACTATGTGGTTCGAGCCCCAGACTCAGCAACTTGAAGAACATGCTCAGTTCATGTGCTTGCATGTGCTAACACCCAAGAAAAAAATGCAAAAGGGATTGGAGGTATGCCCCCTTCCACCCAGAGGGTGATTTCTCATTTTCTCTCTTGCTTTATCTCTCTGTCTCTCTCCAGTGAGTGCATATACTCCATAGTAAAAAATAATAGATAGATAGATACACATACACACACATACATACATACAAACACTCAACCAGCCAAATGGGTCAGCTATTGGTGTGGTGGTTAGAGCAGCTGGATATCAAATTGCTGACTATGTGGTATAAGTCCCAGACCTGGTGGCTCGAGAATCACACTAAGCACATGTGTATGCATGTCCAAAATCCCAAGAAAATGGAGAAGAGATAATGGCTAGGCCATCCTCCTGGGGGGATGTTTCTTTGTTGCTCACTCTCTCCAGTGAGTGCACAAACCCCATAGCAAATTAAAAATAAATAAATGCCAGACACAAAATTACTTATTTTATTGACACAGTCTTATAAAAGTGTCCAAGTGAATTTGACAGTAAATTACATCAGTCTCCCTGATAGCACAAAGGTCCATTCCAAAACCCCAGGAGATGTCTGTAACTGCAGATTGTACCAACTTTATTTATTTTTTCTACATATACATAAGATAAAGTTGAACTTTTAAATTAGGCACACTAAGAGATTAATAAAAAAATAAAATAGAATAGCTGTAAGAATATATCATAAAAAGGTAATATGAATATGATCTCTTTGTCAGGACACTTTTTCGTAAAGTGACACTGTAACAAAGGGAGGGATTACACCATAAATAAAATCAATAATGTCAAAAGTATACATTACTTCCTTTCCAGGATTTTTAAACATAAAAGTTAAATTTAAAGTCTAAATTTATAAAAGGTTTTATTTTTTTTTCAAGATACTGCCAACTCTCTTCCATCCTTTAAGAAATGTAGACTTCTATAAAAATTATATTACTTTGGTCACCAGCCACACTAATTATGTCAATCTGTATTCACCTTTAGGCTGGAAGGTAATCCATTAAAGTGTAAGAAAATATTTAGTTTATTAAATATTCATTAATAAAGACTTGGAGTGTTTGCCAAAAAATAAACTGAATTATTATAGCTCATACCAGGGATCTTAAATGTAAGGACCCAGTGACTCCATTTCTCAATCTCTGTAATAATCCTACCCAGAAATATCACTATGATACTCACCATTCTCAACCCCATAGTACACAGATACACTCAAAATATTTATTCATTTATTGGTGCCAAAATCACCAGTCATGTTATCAAGCAAGTCAAACATAATTTCTGAACATAATTTAAATAGAGTGGCAGATTATTTTATTTCTTTTAACTTTACAAACAGTTGACATTACATAAAAACAGTATTTTAACAGATCATATTTAAAAGTTGACAATTCATTAAAAATGTGTCATTTCTTTTTTTTTTCTTTTTTTTTTTTTTTTTTGAGAGATTTTCACTGTAGGGCGCGTGCGCTCGCCAGACAGACAGAGAGAGACATAGAGACAGAAAGCGAGAAATCACCCCCCAGAGGGGATGGTCACGCCGCAATCCCTTCTCCTCCATTCTCCTCTCGGGATCTTGGGCACGCACGCACACGCGCCCGAAAAATGTGTCATTTCCAAAAAAAACTAAATTTAGGCAAAGATGTCATATAGGTTATCTATGTCTTCGCTAATGAAATAGAGTACAGAGAGAAAAACGATGTTTATTTGGTAATGTTTTTCACAGAAGATGATAAAATATATTAAAGAAAAATATACTATGCAAAAAAATAAGGAAAAGCAGTGACTCCAGGAGTCTTATTTCACTATAAATTCGACTTAGAAACAGTTTTTAGGAACTATAATTTTCTTTATCACGACTACTGTTTCTGTTTTCTGATTACATGATCAAAGAACAAACCCTGTTACAAAGAAGGCATTAATCCAGGCATTACCTTCTAACTAACACTTAAATAACAACTACAAAGTTTAAAAATATAATATAACTTTTTAGTAAGTATAAATTAGTTTTATCTTGGCTTTTGTCATTTGGCTTCATACACAATCTATCTTTAAGTGTATTCCTCTAGATTTATATTGTTTAAAATAAAGGCTAAGAAGTATTTACATAAATTATTTATATACCAATATTTAATGACAGTATATAAATATGCATAAAGTGTTATCTTTTCCAAAGGAAGTAACATTCCAAAAAGAAAAAAAAAAATCTCTTTCTTTGCTTAAATTGTGTTATAAAGTGAAAACAAAAAGAAAAGTGATTTAGCAGGAAAGAACATGGAAAAGCCCCAAAAGTTTTCATTTAAAGTAGTTCAGTTCATTTCTTCCAAGCAAAAGTATTCACAGTATTTCTTAAGCTTCGGAATTCTAGACATTCAAATTGCCATAGTACCCTGTAAAAACTAATATATAAATAAGATTATCATCTGGCAATAATAACATTGTTTTTGATTAAGTTGATTCCATAAAAGCATTTTATAAGAGTTTCTTTACATTTCTAAAGGCATGTAATTTAAGCCATTATATTCTAGATCCTACAACCTCTATTGATAAGTTTTTTAAAAATACTGAAACATGAAAGCACACGTGAAATGTGATTTTTATACAGCTTCAGTTAAAACAGATCAAAATAATGTGAAATGAGAAATAAACAGGTCCATAAAGGTCCATAATCTCTTATAGATTAAAAATTATTACCTTAGAAAAAGCACTACCACGAGTAAACTACTCTTCCTAAAAGTAATGGTAGTTTTTGCTCTTAAAATGATTTAGGGGCTGGGTCCACAGGACAACAGTTGTAGGCTGCTCAAGGGAAGCAGCATCCCAGATGCTCACTGTAGTTTGAATCTCCAGCCTGGTTAGCCTCTAACATACCTGGTTCATACACATGCACAAGTACCCAAGATCACATAATCTGGTGCATTGGAGGAAAGGATCTGGGCATGACTAGACCCTGTGAAGGATGGTCCTCTCTCTCTCCTCACTACCATACATGCAGTTATGTGCTTTACCATGCATAAAGGAAAAGAAATATATGTTTAAAAAAAGTGTTTTGAAAGCTAGTCGATGGCATTAAGGTGTGGGATTCCCACATGACTGACCATGGTTCTAGGCCAGGACCTGGCAGCTTAAAAATCATGCTAGGTGCATATGTGTGTGTGCCTACAATCCTTAGAGGAGAGTGAAAGAGAAGGGATTGCAGCATGGCCAGCCTCACCAAATCACAGAAGGTGATGTCACATCTTCTCTTTCTCTCTCCAAGGGTGAGCACACATACCCTATAGCAAAAAACTAACAACAACAACAAAAGTTTTGGAAGATGAATTGCTAAAACCTGTGATAAAATTTAAAAGTAGGTTTATATTTAATAAAAACTCAAGTTGGGAGCCAGTCAGTGGTATGAAATTTAAGGCAGCTGGATCTCACATGGCCAACTTTGTGGTTGAAGTCCTGGACCCAGTGGCTTAAAAAACATGCCAGGCACAGGTCCATGTGTATCCAAAATACTGAGAAGAATGTGGAGGAGAAGGAGAAGGAACTGTAGCATGGCCACCCCCACGGAGAGTGCTTTCTCTCTCTTTTTCTCTGACAAGCACACACACCCTATAGCAAAAAACGAACAAACAAAAAAATTGGTTGATATGTGCACCAATAATGCATCTTAAATTTCCATTCAGCTGAAAAACGTAAGTCTATAAAATATATTATTTCTAGTATTGGAAACTAGGATCATTAACTTTTGTTTTGTTTTTGTTTTTGTTTTGTTTTGTTTTGATAACTAATAATACATCTAGAACACAGAATAAATATCCAAAGGGTAAAGCAGAATACTCACATCATCATACATAAAATTCACAAATCCTTGTTGCAAGTGATCTCTTCTCCTGAAGAAAGCTTTAAACAAATAAGTTTCTTTTTATTAGAAGTGAACAATTTTAATCTCAATTAAATCGAAAATAATATATATTTTTCTAGGCAACTCAGAGATAATGAAAAATTTCCAACACTGAGCTATAGTAATTTTCATGTTTTGTATTTCCAAATATCTAAACTATTAAAACTCTGATTAGGGGACCAGTAGAAGACATAATGGTTATGTTACTGGACTCCCATGTAGTTGACCGCAGTTCAAGTCCCAGACCCAAAGGCTTAAAACTCATGCTGGGCATGTGTGCAAGCGTGCCCAAAATTCTGAGAGTAGATGGAGGAGAAGAGACTGCAGTGTGGTCATCTTTGTGTGAGGGGGTGATTTCTCACCTTCTGTCTCTAGGATGAAAGCACATGCCCTATAACAAAAGTCTTTCTTAAAAAAATGTAAAAGCTCTCATTAGATATTATAATTTTAAAAAGCCCCCACAAATTACAAAACTGATAAAGTTACTGAGTGGCACTAAAAAAATAGCTAAATAATATTGCACTATTTTTAAATTTTCAATACCTGTCAATGCTCGAAGTTTAACACAGCAAGCAACATAATCATCAAAGAAAATTCTGCCATTCTTGCTATAACGCTTAACAATAACACTTAATGTTTGAGGACTCAATCTATAACCTGAAAAAAAAGAGAGATTAATATATTAAGATTGAAATAAATAGTGTAAGAAGAATCTAACCATGCTTTCTAAACTTAATGAAGCTGTAAAGTTAACTTTCTGAATGTATCCCATAAAAATATACTTAGAAATAACATGAATATAGAAAATGATCAAAGGCTTCATTATTAACATTGTTAAGTGGTACTTATATAATTCTAACTTTGTAATAATGTCAAAATTGAGGAAAATAAAATGATCTTATATATTTTGACTTTGAAATCATGTCTAGGATATTTCAAAGATTTTAATGCTTCAGTATTCCAATTCTGTAACATTTTATAGTTCTTAAATATCAAATCAAAGATTTTCAGTGATCTTCATTATCATTAAGTCCTATATTTCGCACTCACTATATTACGGTCATCCATAATACTATACTGAATTATCAGAGGTATGATAAAAAATAATTACATTATATTAAAGTACTCTACGTTGAAGTATTTTCATACCTACTATACAAAATAATATAGGATTATTATGTGTTCTGTACTACATAATAAAAAGAGGGAAAAAATTGTGTCTTTTTTACTACAGAAAAGCTAGAATATGATACAAGATTTTGTGATTGAGATAAATCTTTGCTCCCAAATGAGAGATCCAACCAAGTTATAAAAGAATACAATATAAGTGAAGAATACTAACAGTTAGGGAAATAAATTCAAATATATTTAACAAAGAAAATTCAGTGTATGCATATATAAATAATCATATTAAAAATCATAATAAAAATCAGTTTATTGAAGTCTTGAGTTAGAATTTACCTTAACAATGAATCCAAACTAAGGTTCTACTAGTGAAGAAATATTTACCTTTATTGCTTAGCAAATTGAAGCAATAAAGATTCATCTGATCAAAGAACAAGGATGACTTGTATAGATGCTAAAGAATGTGAATATTCTTACCCATAGCAGCAATGGCTTGGTTCAACTCATGATGCTCTACTGTACCACTTTGGTCTTGATCAACAGTCATGAAGTTTTGCTTCCAAGCATTCAGAGCTGCCCAAAGCTCTTTGAATTCATTAAATCCCATTTTTCCTGTATAATCTCTCTGTTAGCTTTGTTAAGAAAAAAAACTTCTTTGATTGAGCCAATATACAGTATATTCTGGATAGAAAAATTTATACTAACAGTTAGGGAAATAAATTCAAATATATTTAACAAAGAAAATTCAGTGTATGCATATATAAATAATCATATTAAAAATCATAATAAAAATCAGTTTATTGAAGTCTTGAGTTAGAATTTACCTTAACAATGAATCCAAACTAAGGTTCTACTAGTGAAGAAATATTTACCTTTATTGCTTAGCAAATTGAAGCAATAAAGATTCATCTGATCAAAGAACAAGGATGACTTGTATAGATGCTAAAGAATGTGAATATTCTTACCCATAGCAGCAATGGCTTGGTTCAACTCATGATGCTCTACTGTACCACTTTGGTCTTGATCAACAGTCATGAAGTTTTGCTTCCAAGCATTCAGAGCTGCCCAAAGCTCTTTGAATTCATTAAATCCCATTTTTCCTGTATAATCTCTCTGTTAGCTTTGTTAAGAAAAAAAACTTCTTTGATTGAGCCAATATACAGTATATTCTGGATAGAAAAATTTATTTTGTATGCTGTAATGATATACAGTGATGGACTATAAATAATTTAAAAAAAATAAATAAAGGTATACACCATAAAAAAAAGATAAATAAACTCAATACCTGAGAGAATTTACCTGACTCCTAATTGAGCAGTCAAATATATTTCTATGTAAAAATTAAAATGTCTAGAATTCAAACAACATGTCACAAAGAATTTTTAAATTTTCTAGTTTAAAAATGACTGGTCATTTATAACTAATAACTAGCTTTATATTCAGAAAATGGTGACTTATATTCTAGTATTTTCCATCTTTATTCAAGGATACATCCAACATAGCAATCATAATTCTGCAGGTTTCCAAACTGAAAGCTGTAAAATATATTCAATATTTGAACTGAAGTCTACTTAGTGTTATCTATGTAAACTAGGACAATCTAATTTCCAAATAGAGTATTTAAACACTGCCAAAAAATACACACTCATACACAATCAACAAACTTTTTTGAATGTTTAGGACCCACAGTAGAAACAAAACCAAAAAACAAAACTAAACAAAAAATCAATTACTGTCTTCAAACTATATCTAGTGAAAGAATTAGGCAAATTAAATAAGCAATTGCAATTATAAAATAACTGAAAACTGCTTTAATAGAGATGTTACAGATATAAAGCACTTGGCTTTGTCTGAAATATGGAGACACAAAGGGTATGTCTTTATAACATAAATGACAAGTAAGGTTTAAGGACAGATTTGAAATGTACCAGAGAGCATAAACCTTGAAGGAATTATAGTACATGTGAGCGAATATTATATGATGACATCAGAAAGGCAAATGAGGGTCAGATCATGAAATTTAGGAATACTAACCTAAAGACTTTAGACCAACAAAGCTTACTAAAGAAATTTAAGATATAGAAGGGAAATTATGTAATGTGTATCTTAAAAATTTTAGTTGAAAATGAATAGACTACAGAGTAAAGTAAGATGGTATCAGAGATAGGTAGTTTATTACAATAGGCTAAGATGAGCGTCTGAACTGAAGACTTTTTTTTATCCTGGGAGAGGAAAGAAGGAAGGAAGAAGAAATCAATACAAACTACCTTAAATTCAAGAGTAAAAATTATTAAATCTCATAATTACAAAATTACAACTGAGGATCCACTAGGTAAATTTTAATTTGTCTAATTCACAATGACACTAAACTAATATGCTTATTTATCTCAAGATTATTTACATTGTGGTCCTAATAAAGGAGATAATATGTTAGTACAATTTGGTCAAGCACACAAATTGCCTACTGTAGCTCAATAGGAATGAAAACATTAATTAAAATTTAAACAATTATTTTATGCTGCTTAGTAATGTGCTCTGGAATTTTTCAAAAGAAAAAATATCTTACCTAAATGTTGGGTCCATTAAGAAAAGAAATATAAAACATTCTAAAAATTAAAATAAATAATTTTTTTAATGTTTAATAGGCTATCAACATTGGTCATGTATTTTCAGATTGACAACTCAACAGATACTCAATGAGTACTTATTATTAATGTGTGTTACATTATTTCACATAAACATGCCAAATAATAATAGTCCTACTTCACAAATGAAGAAACTGAGGCCCAGAAAGTTCATAAAGCTATTAAGTGGAACAGTCAGGACTAGAGCCCAATACTCCTTCACACAACAACTACTGGGATGAGGGACTGAATGAGATATACATACAATAATATTCCACCTTTTTTGTCAAATAAAAACTATCTGTTTAGTTTTGAAATTAACTTGCATACATTCATGAAGTGGAGGAATTTGAATTGATGATAATAAATGGCAAAAATTAAATTGGCAAATGAGTGGGTCTTCAATCTCAGAAAAAAAAATCATATATGTATAAGATAAAATATTTTTGATGAAAGAGTAGAAAAGGAGACATTTTAGGAAAGTCCACAAGTTTTTCCCTCCTCCCCACATCTCATTACAGTGGAAAGTAAACTTAATTTTGTAAGAGTATAATGAAAATTTAGAGAAAAAGAAGAGGAAACAATGGAGCAAAATTTTGCAAGTTGGACGATGAATGAGTGGATATGAGCTAACTACCCTATATCTGAAAAAACAGATTCCTGATCTTCTAATAAGAAAAGCTCAGAATCAACCTAGTTATTTTGGAGAAGACCCAAAATGCCTAGTAATAAGCAGTACTTCTGAAATGGCTATGAAGGTAAAGATTAAAAACAAAATAATCAGTCAAATTCCTATTTAAGTAGCATTTAAAACCCCAAATCCTTCCCTACCTTAATTTAGCGGGATGGCTGCTCTATCTATCCCCACCTCAGCAAAAGTCTGGAGTTTTATTCTCTGGAGAGGTCTCTAGACTACTACAGAAAACCAGGCTCAGTAGAAATAGAGCTATCTACTAACAACAAAGCAATTAAATGACAATTTACAAGAAAGTTGAAAACCCTGCTTGTGCCCTTCTCCTTTCTAGGCAGAAGATCAAATGGAGAACCAGCCCAAAAGGGAATCCCAAAGAAGAATGATATTCAGATTTCCACAACAAAATTTTCCAGCCAAATCACCACACACTGAGCCTAAAATCAACATGTACCCAGATCTGAGAACTTCTGATCAGTTTTGTAGTGAGTGTAAGCAGCCAAGTGTCATCAGACAACTGACAGAAGCATCAAACATAAAAGACAAACAAAACAAACCAAATATAAAGAATAAATCAACTTGGAGGAAACAAAGGTTATATAGGAAGAAAAAAGTTTAAAATAAGTAAGCAAAAAGAAAATATCATATTCATGAAAAAAGTACAGAAGCTCTTCAATTTAGAAAACATAACAGCAATGAAAGACTCAATAGAACTTTTAGAAAATAAAGTTGAGGAAATTTCCCAAGAGGACCAGAAAAATACATAGGACAGAAACAAACATAAAGAAAAGTAGAATGAGAAGTAAAAGGCGTTCTAAAAGAAAAAAATAGACATCATTGAAGAAAATCTCCCAGGATTAAAGCAAGTAAGTATCCAGACTGAGAATGTACACTGAATTACCTCAATGTAAGCAGGCACTTCACTACGAAATTACAAAATACTCGAGACAAAGAAAAGCTCTTGTAAACTTTCAGTAAAGAAAAAGAAATCATATACAGGACAAAAACAGAAAGATAAAGCAATGGTGGAAGCTAGAAACAAAAGAGCAATACCTTTAAAATTCTATGTGAAAATTACTTGTAAGCTAGACTCCTAAACTTAAACAAATAATCAATTCTAAAGGTAGAATTAAAGCATTTGCAGATACGTAAATTTCAAAAATTTATTTTCCATATGCTCCTTTACTAAAAAGCTACTTAATGGTTTATTTAATTAAAATAAAAGATTAAATTAGAGAGCACTCAGTCGGAAAAGCACTTGCACATGTATATTCATTGCAGCCTTATTCACAATTGCTAAGACATGGAACCAGCCCAAATGTCCACGAACAGATGAATGGATTGAAAAATTTGACACATAAACTCCATGGAATACTATTCAGCCATAAAAAACAAGAAGGCCCTGGAATTTGATAGAAATTGGACGAATATGGAAGATTTGTTGCTGAGTGAAGCAAGTCAGGCTATGAAAGAGAGACATTGCATGTCTCCACTTAACATATACCGAATATCTGTACTCTGTGGTAGAGACCGAAAGACTGGAAAACATGAAAGTATTAAAAAGTGTAATGGACACTAGAGAAAAAGTGGAAAGAGTGAAGAGCGTAGGAAAGGTGGGGGGAGAATGGAGAGGTAAGACACTTGTGGGACACAGATAAGGTTTATTATCTGTTGACGAGGTTGCGTGTGGTGGTCTCAACTGGGCGGGACTGAGGTGTGTATCAGGCGGAATGAAGTCTCTTCATAGTATGAAGATTAAATTAGAAAAATGAGAAATGGAGTAAAGGGGAGATCCAAGTCAAGAGAATGAGGAAAATTGCTGTAGAATCATGGTTAAGAAATACCAGTATGACAGGTATGCATACAAAGAGAACATCAGAAAGCTCCAGGATGATAAGAAATGTAGGAAGGGACATAAGAAGTTTATGGAGTATGGAATTAAAGTATGAGTTTAGTTTGATGGAAAAGTTTTGAAATCCACACATAATTTTTTCATAGTACACATTTTTAATGAACTTATTGAAGATGACTTATAGAATATCTGACAACTTTTAATTCTAGAAAAAATAATTAAAGTGGAAAAGTAATCATATGTATTCAAGACACAGGTATAAACAGCCTTCCCATAGTAAAAGTAAGGTAAAAACCGACGTATTCAAAATTACTATCTAACTACACTGGAAGGATGGAAGGAAGGGGGCTGTTCCTTTATAAAGTTCAGGATGGGAGTAAGGTTAAGGTTAAAAGAGATTTAAATCCTCACTTTCCATTGCAGGACACTGATTGACAATCATTAAAACTATTAATTACAATTATCACTACCAAAGTCGAGTGGTAGAAACATGCTATTTTGAGGTGGTAACACAGTGGTAATTCAACTGCAGCCACATGGAAAAAGTACTGGGTTCATGTCCTGGGATGTCCCTGAGCAGGGTCGCTTAGCGCATCAAGCACAGATGCACATGCCTATGACTTGGGCTTGCTGGAACTAGGGATGGATTGTGATGTGAAGAAGACCCTGGTGGGGTTCAGTCTCTTTTTCTCTCTCTTCTCACTCACATGGCAAAAGTACATAAACTTAAAGAAAAACATGCTGGGACAAGCAATTAGCGTAATGGCTATGTTGCTGGACTCCCATGTAGTCAACCACAATTCAAGTCCCGGACCCGGTGGCTTAAATTCACGCCAGGCATGTGTGCGTGCGTGCCCAAGATCCCGAGAGGAGAATGGAGGAGAAGGGATTGCAGCGTGGCCATCCCCTCTGGGGGGGATGATTTCTTGCTTTCTGTCTCTCTGTCTCTTGCTGTCTTTCTGGGGAGCGTACGCACCCTATAGCAAAAACCTCTCAAAAAAAAAAAGAAAAAGAAAAAGAAAAAGAAAAGAAAAACATGCTATTTGAGATTTGGAAGTGTGTTTTCAAACAATCTGTTATAAAAAGCTGAAAGAGGTTTCCTGTGTGTGTGTGTGTGTGTGTGTGTGTGTGTGTGTGTGCTTAACATGGAGGAGACAGGAAAGTACAGTGAACAGTTATTGTCACATTGAGTTGCAAAATTATTTGACTCGTTAAACTATGTGAATGTATAATGTAATAAAAAATTACTATTTTACATGTGGGGACAAAAAAGTTAAAAAATTAATTTTCTATTCCAATTTCAACCAAGAAGAGGAAAAAAAGATCTCACGAGAATAAGTTCCACTAATTCCAGACTGTGTCAAACATCTCTGAATTTCTTCAGCATCCACTTCGCCATCCTGTTTGAAAATAATTATAACCAGATTTAATACACAGTTGTATAAATGCATATTAAAATGTAATTTTACTATTGGAGGCCAATCAAAAAATATGTATTCTTTAAAAAAATTATGAAATATAAAATTTTAGATATAATTATTTACAGTAAAAGGAATACTACAGAACGTTGTACAACATAAATTATTTTTTCTTCTTCTGAAAAATAGCACACTCACTGGGTCCTATAATCGTTCAAAACAGTATCTTGCTTGAGTCATTGTTTCTATTTAAAATAGCTAGGAAAATTACTAAAATGTGTTCAGAATATCTCAGAAACCTTTCCACTCATGTCTAGTTTGGGGGAAGATTATTGCTATATGATATTAAAGCTTTAACTGAAATTAGAAATGTATCTGTTGGCCCCCACCAATACCCTTGTCAAAATTTTGGAATTCCCCTGTATTTTGCTATATTCTTCAGATTATTGCCCAATCATTCCTGTTTTAACCTATTATGAGAAATAAGTTCTTAAAACACAAACAGGGAATCACAATAAAATGAACCAGGTTAAGTATTCTCATTATATGTTAATACTTCATCCTATTTTCTACAACAATACAAAGCAATTTACTGGAAACATCACATACACTGGCACAAATCCAAAACAGTGATAAAAGGAACAAGAAGGGAGGTTTAAAACCAGCAGGGACCAGCAGATGGCATAGCAGTTACATTGCTGAACTCCCACATGGCTGACTGTGGTTCAAGTCCTGGACCCGATGGCTTGAAACTCAGGGAAGGAGCGCATACCTGTGTGCCCAAGAATCCCTGAAAAGAAAGGATCGTCTCATGGTCATGCCCACTGGGGAGTGATTTCTCACTTTTCCTCTTGTTGTCTCTGTCTCTCTCTCCCCAGCAAGCACACATGCCCCAAGGCAAAAACTTCTTAAAAAAAAAAAACAAAAAACAACAACAACAAAAAACACTCATTGGGACCAGCAGATGGCATAATGGTTACATCACTGGATTCCCATGTAGTCAACAGAAGTTCAAGTTCCAGACCCAGAGGCTTAAAGCTCATGCCAGGCACATGTGCATGGGTGCCCAAAATCCCAAGAAGAGAATGGAGAAGGGGTTGTGGTGTGGCCATTTCCACAGGGAGTAATTTCTCACTGTCTCTCTGGAAAGTTCATGTGTCCTATGGGAAAAACTTTTCTTTAAAAAACAAACAAAAAACATGTGATCCAAGAAACAAAAAAGTATATATCTATTATATATATCTATATATCTTGATTGGCCTCCAACAGTAAATTTATATCTTCTAAGAAGTATCATAAACACTTAAATTCTTTTTTTATTTTTTCAGAGAAGTGTTTGCTATAGGGTGTGTACACTTGCCAGAAAGACAAAAAGAGACAGACAGACAGAAAAGGAGAAATTATCCTTTGGGAAGATAGCCATGCCACAATCCCTTCTCCTCCATTTTCCTCTCAGGATCTTGAGCATGCATGCACATGTGTCTGGAGTGAGTTGAAGCCACCAAGTCTGGGACTCAAACTGTAGTTGACTATGTGGGAGTCCAGCAATGTAACCATTATGCCACCTGCTGGTCTCAACTAATACTTATATTCTAATAGTTCTTTGGCAAAGAACCTCTGAAAATTGCAGAGGTTTTAATAAGAATTTTTAAAATGCTGAGCAGCAATCTTCTCAATGGACTATCTCTACAGAATTCCTGTCACAGACTATATATTCTTTGTAATGCTTACTTTTCATACTTCTTCATACATAAATAACATTTTAAATTCTGTAGATATAAGCTTATGCCTTAAAAATTAGCCATATTTTGGGAACCAGCAGTTAGTGTAATGGCTATGTCGCTGGACTCCCACGTAGTCGACCGCGGTTCGTGTCCCGGACCCGGTGGCTTAAAACTCACGCTGGGCGCGTGTGCATCCGTGCCCAAGATCTCGAGAGGAGAATGGAGGAGAAGGGATTGCGGCGTGACCATCCCCCCTGGGGGGGTGATTTCTCGCTTTCTGTCTCTATGTCTCTCTCTGTCTGTCTGGCGAGCGCACGCGCCCTACAGTGAAAATCATCCAAAAAAAAAAATTAGCCATATTTTTTGGATTGGAGGATACGTTAGAATATTCTTCTCCAGGACCAGCAGTTGGCATGGTGGTTAAGGTTACTACATGGCCTTCCATGGTTTGAGTTCTGGACCTAGTGGCTTGTTTCCTCTCTCTCTCTCTCCCCCCCTCCCTCTTTCTCTCTCTCTCTTTGGTCAAAATAAAATAAAATAAATGAATGAATAAATAAAATTAAAAATAAATAATTATTTTAAAAAGAGTTTTTTAAAAAAGAATATTCTTCCTCAAATTATGCACCTTGGAAGGACTTTTGAAACACATTTTATTCAACTAACAATTGCCTACCTCTCTGAAGTCATAAAGCAACTATTTCAAATAATTATATATCAAGACTTTTTTAAAAACATTTTAAAAATGTTATCGACTTTTTCTCCCATGAGTGAGACAGAGACAGAGAGAGAGGGACAGCACCCCCAACTAAGTCTTCACACTGTGATTTATGCCCACCCCCCCTAACCAGCTCTGGATCATGGGCACATAAACAGTGTACTCAGGGAGGTCTCCACATATTACCTTCTCATTCCAAATATAACCTTCCCACGTGGGGCAGCTTCACAGAGCACTGCTTTTTACCACTGTGTCTCCATTCAGTCCTGCTATATTTCCAGTTTGTTTTTTTTTTTTCAAATTGGGTAATCAGAAAAATTATGAAGCATTTTTGCACAGAAAAATACATCATGACTTCTCTAATGACCCAATAGTTTTGCCATAGGGCACCCACGCTTTCCAGAGGGGCAGAGACAGAAAGAGAATTTACCGCCCAGGAGAATGGCCATGTGGAAATCCCTTCTCTCCCATTCTCCTCTTGGGATTTTAGACACCCATACACATGCACTCAGTGTTTTTCAAACTATAAACCATGTGGTCAGACATGTGGGATCCAGCCACCTTAACCACCACACCACCAGCTGGCCAAGACATTTACAAAATACATACATATTTCTGTGTCCTGAGCAGAAATGAACAGAAAAATACCGTATCAATTGTGACAGCTGCCCTGTCAACATCATTTCAGTGAAATGATGAAGATAAATGCCAGGATGTTGTCAATTATTGCAGACAAACTTTAAAAGACAATCCTTTACAAACTACTAAAACAAAAGCAAAGGTAAGTAATGGCTTTTCTTTCTTCTTGTAATTTAAAAAGTCTTCTAGTGCACTTAGAAATTATTTTCTTCTTAAACTCTTGTTAAGTGAAAAAGTGGCATTCCCCTTGAGGATTTTTTTTCTCATTTATAAAAAATAATGCACTGTGTACAAAATAGAGTCATACCTAAACTTTTCAGGAAAAGAAAATCTGAATTTACTAAAAATCTAGAGCAATTTAATTAAAATGAAGACAAATCAGTCCTGTGTGATCCGATATTACTTTCTGTTCCAAGTATAATCTTCTCCTATAACGTTTCACACAAAAGTCCACTTTGCCCATAGAAGACGTTCCCTAAATTCTGTACTTCCAGAGACAGAGAAGGAGGAGACTTGAAAGATATGGAGGCTATTTTGTAGGGGAAGGACAAAGTTTAGAGATAACAAAGTTGTAAAAAAAAAAAATAGCTGGTTCAAGAGTTACATGGGAAAAGCCATTGTAAATTGAGTAAAGAATACAAAAATTTCTCAGGAACTTCACTAATTCTGTTTGAATGAAATGGAAACTAAGAAGTATATGTTACTATTGTCTTGTCCACAAATAAAATAGAACATTAAACTCCACATGTCAAATTTCTATCTGCTCATTTATGGCCCATGTTTCCTTCATCCACTGCTCTGCAAGGACAAAGGTGATGACAGCTGTTTGTAAGTCTGGTACTTCAGAAGTCTATGTGTATTCTTCCTACAAAAAAAAAAAATAAGTTTATTATTTTATCAGAGTTGAGAATAAGTACCATAAAATTTAAAAAATGCTCCATTAAATTTCTTGAAAGGTGCCAGAGCAGTTTAAGTTCTTATCTTTTATAAACTTTTCATCTCATGGGAGTTTTATGATGGATATAAGTAGAGTCACTGAAAAATGAAATTCTTTTCCTTAAGTTGTTCTACTAAATACTTGGGTTTATCTTCTAAAAACAAGCAGACCAAAACATACGACATAAACTGGCCCTATATAAATGTCTTGGAAATATAAAATCATACTATCATTTAAACAGTTTGTATTGATACAGGCAAGGTTCATTATCAAGGTGAGGCACATGAGGTGAGTGGTGAAAGCACAATGTCAGAGTCTGATTTTTTGTTTTGTTTTCTAAAATTAGATATATTGCTCAGGATTGCTTTTTTATATTAAATTTTATTTTAATATATTAAAGCATTTTATACTATGATAACTGAGTTTTGTGTTTGTTTTTGTTTGGTTGGTTTTTGGTCTTAAATTTTGTATCCCAGGCAAACCTCTCATTTGCCTTACCCTAGCTGAACTTTAACCTCTTGGCAACACAAACAGCACTTTTACAGGTTATGTCAAGAGTTTAGGTTAGGGGACCTTCTGTGGCAACTAAGAAAGAAAATAATCATAATATAAAATAATCATAATAGAATTAAAATATATCTGAGGTCCATATTGCTTTATTTTAGAAGATTCCATTTTTTTTAAAAAAGCATGCAACTAAATTATATGAAATTCCAACTCTGAATTCTGGCTGGGTTTATAATATAGAAGTAAAAAAAATAGAAAGTAGAGGGGAAGCAGATGGGGCAGCAGGGACAAGAATTTGCTTCTGAGGACTTCATACAACATTAGACTGTGTCTTACTGCCTGAATCAAGGAGGTGGAGTAGAGCTCCCTACTCATGAAAGGAAGCAAAATCAAACAAACATCGTAGACAGTTGACCACTGCAGAAGGACATCACTTCTGAGAAGATGAAACTTTAGAAAG